CCCACACCAAGGCTTTTCAACCAGTGGTACGGGTACCACCTGTGGTACATTGGCACCTGGCAGGTGGTACGTGACCATCCTAGAAAAGTGGTAGCGGGGGAGGGGAATGAGCCGAACCGGTGGCAGCACCACACAAGCCTGAGCGAGAGACGGCTGGAGCTGCAGGGCTGTCAGGGCTCAGTGGAAGCGCCAGGATCAGTGCTTCTTCAGGACTGTCAGGGCTCAGCAGAAGTGCCAGGATCAGTGCCAGGCTCCAGGTGGAGCTCGGCACTGATCCTGGTGCTTCTGCTGAGCCCAGAAGAAGCACCGATCAGCTGGAATGTTGCAGCATCTCCAGGGTCTTGTGATTTACATTCAGATGCTTGGCAACTGATTCATATTTATGACGGTCACAGTGTCCCAGGGTCATGTGAAGTGACCAAAACCTGCTGCAACCATCCAGCAGATGGGGGGAATAAAAACCAAACACCCCCCCACCCCACCCCTGCTGCCAATCCTCAACAGAAATGCTCACAACAGTGAAAACCTCGGACAGGAGGAAGAGCACCGCCGGGCGGGCGGGCAGGCGTCTTGCTCGGCTGTGGCTTGGGGGGCACTTTTTTCAGCGCCATTGTAACTTTGAACAGTCACTAAGCGAACTGTTGTAAGTCGAGGACTACCTGTACTTTATCACTTTTTTCCTTTTTTGGGGGGGTCATCAAGTTTTTGACACCTTGCTAGGCGACTGGTGGTACTTGGATAGTGCCATATCCTAAAAGTGGTACAATGGGTGAAAAGGTTGAAAAGCCCTGTCCTACACACTCTCTAGAGTTGTCCCAAAGGTGCTTTTTCAAAAGGCAACTGGACTTTGTTTTATCTTGAAGAAGTTTTGCTTCTCATCCAAAAAGCTTCTTCAGTTCTGACTGAATGGTGGAGAATGGAACTAAAGAACTGAAGAAGCTTCTTGGATGACAAGTGAAACCTCTTTAAGGAAAAACAAAGTCCGGTTGCCCTTTGAAAAAGCACCTTTGGGACAACCGTGACCGGGATGATTGAGAATTTCCAAAGATATTCTCTAGGATTCGAGACAACATCCTCAGAACTTGGTTTGTTTTGGGTTCTCCTTCAAAACGCTAATACTCCTCTTAAAATTCCTTCCTTTGGGGGGTCGTCATACACCTCTGCGCAGTTCCATACCGGATCCTCGGATGATGGTCTGTAGCTTATTAGCTAAGATCTTAGCTTCGAGTCTTGGCATCTAGTGTCTCTGCAACATCTTCTGACAACTCTAACGTTGTTGTGTTCCTTATCTCCTCAGGCCAAGCATGTCCGGCCTTCACCTCATGAAACAAGGCCGAGATAGGAAGAAGGTGGATCTACAGAGAGATTTCACTGTGGCGTCTCCAGCAGAGTTTGTCACCCGTTTTGGAGGAAACAAAGTTATTGAGAAGGTAAAGAACGGAACGGAACAGGACAGAATAGAATAGAATTTGGGTTCTACACTATAAAGAAGATGTTGAGACTCTAGAAAAAGTGCAGAGAAGAGCAACAAAGATGATTAGAGGACTGGAGACTAAAATGTATGAGGAATGGTTACAGGAATTGGGCATGGCTAGTCTAGTGAAGAGAAGGACGAGGGGAGACATGATAGCAGTGTTCCAATATTTGAGGGGCTGTCACAAAGAGGAGGGGATCAGCCTATTTTCCAAAGCGCCTGAAGGCCAGACAAAGAATAACGGATGGAAGCTGATCAAGGAGAGATTCAGCCTAGAAATAAGAAGAAATTTCCTGACAGTGAGAACAATCAACCAATGGAACAGTTTGCATTCAGATGTTGTGAGAGCTTCATCACAGGTAGCTTTCAAGAAGAGACTGGACTGCCATCTGTCCGAAATGGTGTAGGGTCTCCTGCTTGAGCAGGGGGTTGGACTAGATGACCTACAATGTCCCTTCCAACTCTCTGCTTCTGCTTCAGAATAGAATAAAATAGAACAGAACAGAACAGAACAGAACAGAACAGAATAGAATAGAATAGAATAGAATAGAGCTGGAAGGGACCTTGGAGGTCTTCTAGTCCAGCCCCGTGTTCAAGCAGGAGAACCTATACCATCTCAGACAGGTGATTATCTAGATTCTTCTTGAAAACCTCCAGTGATGGAGCACCCATGATTTCTGGGGGTAAGCTGTTCCACTGGTTGATTGTCCTCACTGTCAGGAAGTTTCTCCTTAATTCCAGGTTGCTTCTCTCTTTGATCAGTTTCCAACCATTGTTTCTTGTCCTGCCCTCAGGTGCTTTGGTGAACAACCTGACCCCCTCTTCCTTGTGGCAGCCCCTCAGATATTGGAACACTGCTATCATGTCTCCCCTATTTCTTCTTTTCTTTAGACTAGCCAAACCCAAGTCCCGCAGCCGTTCTTCCTATGTTTTAGTCTCCAGGCCTTGGATCATCTTAGTTGCTCTTCTCTGAATTTTTTCCAAACTCTCAACATCTTTTTTGTGATATGGTGACCAAAAGTGGCTGCAGTATTCCAGGTGTGATCTTACTAGGGTTTTATAAAACGGGACTAATACTTCGCGTGATCTTGATTCTACAAACCTTTCAGAATCCGAACCGACCGCACAGCCAACCACAGACAGCACCGACCCTCAAAACCAACCCACGTAACCCCCCTCCCACCAGCAGTTCACCCCCCAATGACCCTGACCTGATGTAACTTCCCCATCACAAGACCCGTCACAAGATTCACTCATGACTCACGCCTGACCCATCACGAGACCCTCACTCGACACACCCACACCTGAAGCCCTTATAAACTGACATCCCCTAAACTCCCCTGAAGATGTTACCTAACCTGGTAATGAAACGTTTGGAAACCAATCCACAAGCTCGGAGAACGAATATTCACCCTCACATATATCTGTGTCAGTTGTGCTGTCGAGATAGTTATTTCCCAGTTTGATTGCTGATTGTAAATCTGAACTATTTTATCCTTTCCGTTTCACGTTTCTTCTCTGTCTAGGTTCTCATTGCCAATAATGGGATAGCGGCAGTCAAATGCATGAGGTCCATCCGACGCTGGTCTTACGAGATGTTCCGGAATGAGCGAGCCATTCGTTTCGTGGTTATGGTGACGCCCGAAGACTTGAAAGCCAACGCAGGTGAGCATAAGAACTGTGCTTTTATAAGAGTTCTGGCTGCGCAGTGGTTAGAATGCAGTATTGCAGGCTAACATTGCCCACAGTCTAGAGTTCGATCCTGACCAGCTCGAGTTCGACTCAGCCTTCCATCCTTCCGAGGTCCGTAAAATGAGGACCCGGATGTTGGAGGCAAAATGCCGACTCTGTAAACTGCTCAGAGAGTGCTGCAAAGCGCTGTGGGGCGGTAAATAAGTCTAAGTGCTATTATTGCTTTGCTTTTCATTATTCCTGCAGGAAAAATGGTAAATTATAGATAGTCCTCGACTTACAGCTATTTGTTTAGTGACCGTTTGAAGTTACAACAGAATGGGAAAAAGTGACTTATGACTGTTTTTCACACTCGTGACCGTTGCAGCATCCCCATAGTCGCCTGATCAAAATTTGGGTGCTTGGCAGTTGGCTCGTATTTATGACCGTTGCAGTGACCGTTGCATGTGAGATCACCTTTTTTGACTTTCTGACGAGCAAAGTCAATGGAGAAGCCAGAATCACTTACCAGTTATGTTAGTAACTTAACAACTGCAGCGGTTCACTTAACAACTCTGGCGAGAAAGGTCATAAAATGGGGTAAAATTCACTTAACAGTTTCCTCTCCCAAATGTTCCTGGGAAGGTTGGCCACTTTCAGATCGCGCACAATCCGGCATCCCATAATTTTACTCTCCTGAGAAATAAGAATAATGTTGGCCTTTTGCACTGCAATACAAGTTAGTCTGTCACAGCATGCACAGTCTTATTGCGCTGAGGTAACCCAGGAATAAATACAGTACACAGTGGTTTGTATTAAATGGTGGTTTATATTACACTATCTACAAATATACACTAGAAACAAGATACATACACGTGGTGAAACAGCGAACTACAATACACAGCAATTGCAGCAGGAAACGGACGAGAGAGAAAGACTCCAGCAAGGCCTTCCCTTTTATACTCAAGCTCTTAAAGGGATACAGACTCCTGCTGAGTCATTCCTAACATTGCATCATGCATCTCACATTATGCAAGCTGGTTAGCTTCTAAATCAGTGGTGGCAAACCTGTGGCACGGGTGCCAGAGGCGGGCGGCACTCAGAGCGCTCTCTGTGGGCACCCTTGCCATCGTCCCAGTCCTAGGCCTTCATCTGGATTTTATAAAACCTTTTCGCTTTAGGCCTCCACCACCGTGTGCAAAAAAAAAAGTTCAATCAGTCAATTTCAACTTCTTGCAGGAAAAAAAAAGATCTTGCAAAGTTGGAATTGATTGATTGAACTTTTTAGTCCCACCCAGTCTGCTGTTACCACTGCAGCCACGCCCACCCAATGGGCCACACCCACCCAATGGACCCGGCACCCGACGATGCATAAATGGGTTTTGGGTTGCAGTTTGGCCATTCCGTCTCTAAAACGTTCGCCATCACTGTTCTAAATCATTACCTTGACATAGTTCTTGACTGCTGCTGGTAGAGTTGGGGCCAGCCCCTCTCTCTTAACCCCAGGAAGAAGGCAAGGGCAAAATACAGGTAGTGCTCAACTTACGACAGTCCATTTAGTGACCGTTTGAAGTTACAACGGCCCTGAAAAAAGTGACCTACGACCATTTTTCACCCTTGCCACCCTTGCAGCATCTCGGTGGTGCCACGATCAAAATTCAGACACTTGGTAACCGACTCGTATTTATGACGGTTGCATGTGATCATCCCCTTTTGCCACTTTTTGACAAGCAAAGCCAATTGGGAAGCAGGATTCACTTAATAACTGTGGCAAGAAAGGTCGTAAAATGGGGCAAAATCCGCTTAACAACTCTCTCACCCAGCAACAGAAATTTGGGGCTCAATTGTGGTCGTAAGTTGAGGACTCCCTGTATTAGCAGTTTGCCAACGACAGGGGGTGGAGCAACATGCCCACTGAGTGACAACAGTTTAGTGAGCTCTTAACTTTTTACCTCAGCTTTTCTCTTCTTTAGTACTCAATAGCTTCCTTAGCAGCTTCCCAACTTTTTTTTAGTTAAGAGTTTTGTTTTTTTTTAAAAAGTCTGATGATCAAAGATTGGCATAAACCCAATTTAAAGATATGGAAAGTTGGAGGAAAACTGCTGTTTTGTGTTTGCAATAGGCTTGACCCCTAGGATTTTGCATGTGTGGAACTTAACCCATCATAATATCCTCTGGATAAGTGATGCATACTTTCAATAAATAAATTACAGGTAGTTTCCTCGAATTAACAATCATAATGCAGCCTGATCATCCTGGTCGTAACTTGTGACAGTCGCAAATCGGGTCACTCATGTAACCAACCTGATTTTAGGACCTTTTCTTATAGCAGTCCTTAAGCAAACACTGCGGTTGTTAAGTGAACCAATGGCTTGATGTGGGTTGATTTTGACGAAAATCGGAAGTAAATGCTGCTTTTTGGCAAAACTGCTGCAAAACACGGTCATGTGACCACTGGACCAGTGGTGGGATTCAGCCAGTTCGCACTGGTTCGGCAGAACCAGTAGCTAAATTTTGCTGAGTTCGGAGAACTGGCCAAATGTACACTGCTTCCGGAAGTCTAGTCTAGGCCTCGGAGGCCTGGAGGAGGCCTCCCGGGCCTAGAATGGCCCGCTGGAAATGCATGGATGCCACTTCTGGAAGTCCGTTCTAGGCCTCGGAAGCCTGGAGGAGACCTCCCGGGCCTAGAATGGCCCGCTGGAAGTGTGTGGATGCCACTTCTGGAAGTCCGTTCTAGGCCTTGGAGGCCCAGGCCTGCATCCAATAAGCGTACTGGTTGTTCAGGTATTTGAATCCCACCAGTGCACTGGATGCTGCAAATGGCTGAAAATGCGACTGGTCATAAATTGAGGACTAGTGGTATATTACTCCAGTAGGCAGACAGTGAATAGGTTGCTGGAATTGGGTATGTCTAGTTTAATGAAGAGAAGGACGAGGGGGGACATGATAGCAGCGTTCCAATATCTCAGGGGCTGCCACAAAGAAGAGGGAGTCAAGCTATTCTCCAAGGCACCTGAAGGCAGGACAAGAAGCAACGGATGGGAACTAATCAAGGAGAGAAGCAACTTAGAATTAAGGAGAAACTTCCTGACAGTTAGAACAATTAACCAGTGGAACAACCTGCCTCCAGAAGCGGTGAATGCTCCAACACTGGAAGTTTTTAAGAAGAGACTGGATAGCCATTTATCTGAAATGGTATAGGGTTTCCTGCCTGAGCAGGGGGTTGGACTAGATGACCTCCAAGGTCCCTTCCAACTTTTTTATTATGGGTTAATTATGGCAATTTTACAACCGGTGGACTTTAACTTCAATTTTGTCTGAAATGATATAGGTTCTCCTACTTGAGCAGGGGGCTAGACTAGAAGACCTCTAAGGTCCCTTCCAGCTATTCTATTCTATTCTATTCTATTCTATTCTATTCTATTCTATTCTATTCTATTCTATGCCTGGGGCTCAGGAATGTGCTAAAGGCCCTGTCACTTGGTTTTACTATTAGTTGCTGTTTCTACTTATTTATTTTGTTGATGTTTTCATTTGTTTTACTTTTTTATTTTTTAAAAAAATAATTTTAAACTCCTAAAGCCTCCCAGAGTCACTTGGTTGAGTTAGGCAGCTATAGAAATTGAATGAATAAATAAATAAATAAAGTCTGCAAGGAAACACCCTTGGCTCTGTTTCATTAAGAAACCCCCCCCCCCCACCAAAAAAAGAGAAGAAATCCCAAAGAATTGTTCCCTTATGAATCTTAAGTTCAGTTGATACACACGTTTTTTTTTTTTAAAAAAAAATCTGTTTGGGAAATGTAGACGTTGCCAATTGAATGAGCAGCCTAAATACCCTCTTGTTTTTCATATTTTCAGAATATATTAAAATGGCTGATCATTATGTCCCAGTACCTGGAGGTCCAAATAACAATAACTATGCAAATGTGGAACTGATACTGGAAATTGCAAAACGGATACCTGTGCAGGTGAGAAGGTGGAAATACAGAATTTAAAAAACAAAGAATGCTTATTGTTGCTGGACTCATTCTAACATAGTTGTTTGCTTAGATCAGGGGTCTTCAAACATGGCCCTTTTATGACTTGTGGACTTCAACTCCCAGAATTCCTCAGCCAGGTACACTGGCTCAGGAATTCTGGGAGTTGGTCCACAAGTCATAAAAGGGCCAAGTTTGAAGACCCCTGGTGTAGATTTAGCTTAGCATGCTACCCACTTTGGTTTGTAAACTAGGCTTGATTAAAATTTAACTTGTGTGGATTAAGCTGATTGTGGTTTAATTCCCACAGTTCAACAGATCGTGGCGTAGCTTGTTGTGAATTGGACTTGTGATTGTCTGAGCTTCCTTGATATTGTAGAGATGAGAGAAAAATGTTTGGCTGCCTGTTGACTAGCCTGATCAGATTTTATAAATTCACCTTTCCCAATCAGTGGCCACACTGGTTGGGAATTCTGGGAGTTGTAGTCCAATACATCTGGAGAAGTTCAGGATGGAGAAGAATGTCCTTAAAACTGGGAAGGCATGGAGAAGAAATGAAGGAAAGATGGAGAAACTAGTGGTAGTGATGGAAAGGAAAATTGTTTGTCCAGAAATGTTGTAGCTGAAACAACACCATCCATTATTTGAGAAAGCCCAACTCATTGACAAAACTTTCTGTGCCACAAAAAATAATGCACTGAGGAAAATTTTGCCACTTCTCAAATGCTTAGTGGGGATTAAGCATGACTATCCTGAGCAAAATATGAAAAAGTTGTCAAAAGGGGAAGGAGTGTCAACCTATTCTCCAAAGCACCTGAAGGCAATGGGTAGAAACTAATCAAGGAGAGAAACAACCTAGAACTAAAGAGAAATTTCCTGACAGTTAGAACAATTAATCAGTGAAATAGTTTTGCCTCTAGAAGCTGTGAATGCTCCAACACTGCAGGCTTTTAAGAAGAGACTGGACAGCCATTTGTCTGAAATGGTATAGGGCAGTGATGGTGAACCTTTTAGAGACCGAGTGCCCAAAAACCACCCCCCCACCGTCCCCGCTCCGCTCCGCCCTGCCCACTGGGCCACCAACCACCTCCACGGCCCGCCACAGATCACCCAGGCAGCCCAGCAGCACCATGGCGGCCACGCCCTCCGCCCATGCCCCGCAGCATCATCTGCGCCCGACAGGGCGCAAGGGCGGAGTCTTGTCCCCGCTGCCCGGCTACCATGTCATTGGCTGTGCTGCTTCGTGTGGGCCGCGCCCAGGGGCGACTCTCCTCTGGGGGGGCTGCTGGTGAGGGGGGCGTGGGAGGAGGTGGGGCTGGGGAGATGGTGCATGTGCCCACAAAGAGGGCTCCGAGTGCAGCCTCTGGCACCCGTGCCATAGGTTCGCCACCACTGGTATAGCGTTTCCTGCCTGAGCAGGGGGTTGGACTAGAAGATCTCCAAGGTCCCTTCCACTGTTATTCTGAGTGGAGTATTCTGGATGAGGATACAGTTGACGTCTTGGAAACAAGCCAGAATATTTCCAGATATTTTAGAAGTGTGTGTAATAATTTAGGTGCATTAATTTAGTCTTATTTATACTACCTACATGCTGATACCTGTGTTTGGTTTGGAATGGAATGCCATTCCACGATGCATGAAATCCTGTTGGCTGCTTTCCAATACAATGATGTGAAATAAACTGGGGAAAAGTTGTCACAAATACCTTTCTCTACAGGTGGTCCTTGATTTATGACCGGTCACTTTAATGACCATTTGAAGTTAGGACGCATTTGAAAAAAAAGTTACTTAGGACCCATCCTCAAAGCTGTGGCTGCTGTACTATCCCCACTGTCAGGTGATCATTTGGGGCGCTTGGCCACTGGTTCACATTTATGACCAGGGGTAGCATCCTGCGATCATTCGATTATGCGTCCTGTGGTCATGTTTTTCTGGCAAAAAAGGCCTGTTAAGCTGGATTTGGACTTGCATCTATATCAGTGGTTCTCAACCTGTGGGTCGGGACCCCATTTGGGGTCGATCGACCATTTCACGGGGGTCGCCAAGCAAGGCTGTCCACCTTTTTTTTGTCCGCCATTTTTTCCCCTTTTCCGGCGGGTGCCTTACCTCCCTTGGGCTGGGCCAGCTGGTGGTCGGCCTGCTCCATCTCTGCCGCTTGCCAGCTACGCCTGGCCGGCGCAGGGGGCGGAACCACGCATGCGCGGCGCTCCCGGGCAGGGAAAGTCCTCGACTTACGACCGGTTGGGTAGTCCTCGACTTACGACTGGTTTAGTCCTGGACTTACGACCGGTTTAGTCCTGGACTTACGACCGGTTTAGTCCTGGACTTACGACCGGTTGGGGGTCGCGGCATTAAAAAGGTTGAGAACCACTGATCTATATGTTTCACTTAATGATCATTGTGACTTGCTTAATGTAAAATCGCGTCTGGTCACGTGGTAACTCGATTTATGACTGCAATGACATGACCAAAATTCCAGGCTCAGTTGTGGTTGTAAGTCAAGGACTACCGTGTTTCCCTGAAAATAAGACCCAACTGGAAAATAAGACCTAGCATGATTTTTCAAGATGCTCGTAATATAAGCCTCACCCCAAAATAAGCCCCAGTTAAGCCAGGCGGACGCATTTAGTACCGTATTTCCCCGAATATAAGCCTTAACCGGAAAATAAGCCCTAAGGCAGAGATCCCCAACCTTTTGGGCACCAGGGAACGGTTCCATAGAGAGAGGTTTTTCCACCGACCGGAGGGGGTGTGGTTTTGTGTGCTGCCTGCATCCCATAGATGGGGCTTTTCTTGTTTGTGCAGACCGGTTGCTGGCATGCCGCGGCCCGGTACTGGTCTACAGACCGGGGGTTGGGGACCCCTGCCCTAAGGCATCTATTGGAACAACAATTAATATAAGACCCGGTCTTATTTTCAGGGAAATACAGTACCTGTATTTGCTATAGTTCTTTTTGAAAAGAGATCTGACTTCCTTTTTTTTAATTTTTTTTTAATTCCAGGCAGTGTGGGCAGGCTGGGGCCATGCCTCAGAGAACCCCAAACTTCCAGAACTGCTCCACAAAAATGGAATTGCTTTCATGGGTAAGGTGTTCGAAGTTTGTCTGAAATAGGCCCTGTGATTGTATTATTGCAAGGGGGTCTCGTCGGTCCTATCAGAAGACAACAGCTGGTGTTAGGAATGGAATGTCTCTTCTGATCATGGCATCTGGATGGTCTCTGAAAAGCAGGGGCAGTATTGAACAATGACATTCTGAAAGAACAGAACAACATCAGGGACGCATCACTGTTATGAAAACAGCATTTGTACGCAGAATGTCTAGGAAAGCAAAACTAATAGAACTGAGGCTGCAGGATTAGATGGGGAAGATGTAGAAATTACAGAGGGAGGGGGAAAAATCAGGAAAAATGGAAGAGTAACAGGAAGATCCTATAATTCTGGCTTCTGAAAAGCATGAAGATGAACAGTGGAGGGGTTAGAAAAAGCTTCAGAAGAAGCCATATAGCAGTGGAAGGGGTAACTATGGCAACTTTACGACTGGTGAACTTCAAATTCAATTTTGGCTAAAATGATATAGGTTCTCCTATTTGAGCAGGGAACTAGACTAGAAGACCTCCAAGGTCCCTTCCAACTATTCTATTCTATTCTATTCTATTCCATTTCATTCCATTCTATTCTATTCTAAATATTTTATTCTATTCTATTCTATTCTATTCTATTCTATTCTATTCTATTCTATTCTATTCTATTCCTCCCGGCATTCCTGAGTCAGCATGGAAGAGGGTGAAGAGGTAGAAGAGTCAGAAGAGAATGACAAAGCTGAAGAAAATAAAGTGATTGATTGATTGATTGATTGATTGATTGATTGTGTGCCATCAAGTCAGTGTTGAATCTTAGTGATCAGATGTAATAGATTTTCTCCTGGATGATCTGTCCCTAACCTGATCTTCAGATCCTCCAATGATACACTCATTAGTGTTGTAACTCAGTCCATCCATCTTGCTCCCGGTCGTCCTCTTCTTCTCTCTCGTTCCATCTTTCCTAGCATCAGAGCCTTTTCCAGAGAGCTGGGTCTTCACATAATATGTCCAAAGTTGGATAATTTCACCCTTCATATTTGTGCCTTCAGTGAGAACTATGGTTTTATGTCGTGGCGACCAAAACTGGATGCAATATTCCAAGTGTGGGCTGCCACAAAGAAGGGGGGGGTGTCCGGCAACCATTTGTCTGAAATGGTGTAGAGTTTCCTGCTTGAGCAGGGGTTGGACTAGAAGACCTCCAAGGTCCCTTCCAACTCTTCTCCAACACCCGTGTTCAAAAGCATTAATACTTTTCTTAATCCCTTCTTCAAAGTCCAAAGGAAGGGGGAAAAAAGAATTCAAAAATTAGAACTGGTCCAAGTTATGCCAGCTTTGACAGTTCATCTGTTCAGGCACATCTAAAGTTAGTAGAAGTTAGCATCAAATCCCCAAAATTTATCCAATATTTCTCCCCCTGCCCAACTCTTCAGCAAAAGTATGTAGAAATTGCTGATTCGCAGGGATTTACCCCCACAGTTGAGGTTGACATAAGCGGCGTGCCATTCAGTAAATCAATGCTAGTAGTTGAAAAAAACGATCTTGCTGCAGAACTTTTATTTTTTTTATTTTTTCTAGGTCCCCCAAGCCAAGCGATGTGGGCATTAGGAGATAAAATTGCTTCTTCTATAGTGGCGCAAACTGCGGGTATCCCTACCCTTCCATGGAGTGGCAACGGTAAGATGTGTTCAGCGTCATGTGGCCATGGACCAAATTCTTCCAGATGGCCAATGGTGTTTAAAATAAGCCCTGAGAAATGATATGGGATAGTAAGCAGATTTAGCCCTGGGTGTTCTCTGAGCTCGGTGGTTTTCTAGCAAATGTTTCATTACTGAACTAGGTAACGACATCAGTGCTAGAGGGAAGGGGAGGGGGTGAGGAAAATTTAGAAAGTGATAACTGTATGAAAAGCCAAACACCAGAAATAAAAAGGGTTACTTCCAATTCTCTGCAATGCAGATGCAATTATGTAATAAATTAAACTTGTTTTATTTATTTTATTTATTTATTTATATTTATATTTATATCCCGCCCTTCTCCTTGCGGACTCAGGGCGGCTAACAACCGAATAAAAAATACAAAATATCAGACTACAAATTTAAAACTTAATT